CAAGAACTCCAAATAATTTCCATGACATTATATAGTTCACATATCTCATAAAAACAATGTAATCATTTAAATATCACCAATGTACATATAATCATGCCCACATTGTTCAAACAGTTAAGAGTACGTAAACACCCAATACAAGGAACGTAAATCAAACAATACCATGCATAATATAATGCTCACGAAATTTATTTAAATCAATCTCTGTAAAAGGCCCCCAAGAAACCCCCTACCTTGAACGTAAGATAACTCAACACCTTGAGTTTCTCCAAAGTCTTTCTTGTTTAATGCTTTCTAATATTTTCCCTCCTTTTTCCTCTCTCTATCACTTTTCTTCTTCTATCATGCGTTACCATGCATGTCCTAAAACCTAAGTTAAGGAAATGATTCCTATTTATAGTACAATAAAAGTCGGCTAAAGATGATATAGGAGGGGAAAGTCAGCATCTCAACTAAGTGGTGTCAATTGGCATGTGCATAAGACTATAATGCTGCCAGCTATAAGAAATTATAGCAAGAGGTGTTTAAAGCTAAGTAAACTCAAGATATGCAGATGACAACTCACAAGGTGATTGTGCTCCTTGCTTGGCTATAAAAAAATGGACATGTCTATCACTAATATCAATCAAAGTTGATCACTACAAACCTTAACTTAGCCACCAAGTATTAATAACATGCAGGAGTTGCAACGAAAATAAAATATATCCATATATTTATTTAAAGTATATATTTATTAGTGATAATATTTATGAAAGTATAGCACGTAATATTTTATATGTACATATATATATATATAATAGAATAATAATAATGCATGAAACTCTAGATAGCTAAGGACAAAAATCCTACTACCATTAAATAAAATTAATATTAAAAGCATGTTTTAAGAATATCATCAAAATTATTGAATTTGCATTAAATAAAACATAGACTTTCATAAAATAATCATAATTATAATTTAATACTTACCAAAATAAAGTATTAATATTTTTAATAATAAGGATTCTCACAGCGAAAGAAAGATTTAACCTTCATGTTGGACCGGTTGGTAGTGTTCACAACTAAGCTAGAGAAGTTGCTTACAATTTGATGCATCAAACTACACACATTGAAACAATGGTGATGTCTTTCTTTTCGTGGTCATGATGAAAGTGCACAATCAAGTAATAAAGGGAATTATTTAGAGCTCTTGCAATTTCTTGCGGATCATGATGAAAAAGTTAAGGGCATTGTGTTGGAAAATGCTCCGGGAAATTTAAAGTTAATAGCTCATTCAATTCAGAAAGATCTTGTCAATTCTTGTGCTAAAGAAACTATTGGTCTTATCTTGAGTGATGTAAAAGATAGATATTTTTCAATAATGGTAGATGAAGCACGTGATGTTTCAATAAAGGAGCAAATGGCGATGGTACTGCGTTATGTGAACAACAAAGGACAAATAATTGAAAGGTTTGTGGGGGTTCAACATGTAACCGACACTATTTCAAGTGCACTAAAGGAAGCCATTGATGAATTCTTTTCTTCCGTGAATTTGAGTTTTTCTAAGCTACGAGGACAAGGTTATGATAGAGCTAGTAATATGAGAAGTGAATTCAATGACCTTAAGACAAAGATTTTGAGAGAACAACCTTGTACATTTTATGTTCATTGCTTTGCTCATCAAATTCAACTAGCTCTTGTTGCGGTAGAAAAGAAAAACATTGATGTCAATTCTTTTTTCACAAAGGCTAATAGTTTGGTTAATGTTGTTGCAGCATCTTGTAAGCGTCGTGATGCACTTAGAGCACAATACTAAGAAGAGCTTGTGAGTGCTTTTGAAGATGATTGTCTTATAACGAGGGCGAGGCTTAAATCAAGAAACTAGTCTCAAACGTGCAGGCGATACATGATGGAACTCACATTATGATACGTTGATTAGTATCATTTCTATGTTCCCATCTGTTGTGAATGTGCTTCAAATGATTGTTGATGATAATCCTAATGATAGTTCGGGTGAAGCCTATAAGTTATGGAGAGAAATACAATCTTTTGAGTTTGTGTTTCACTTATTTTTAATGAAAGCTATATTGGAAATAACAAATACTTTGTCTCTAGCATTGCAAAAGAAAAATCAAGATATTGTGAGTGCAATGAGTTAAGTGAAAACATGCAAGCAAAACCTGTAGTTGATGAGGGATAATGAGTTTGAAGAATTGGTTGAACAAGCATCTTCGTTTTGTTACAAACAGGATATTACAGTTCCTACCATGGATGAGGAATATGTAATTCCAGGGAGATCACGGCGTAATGCTCCAATGAAGACAAATTATCATCGTTATCATGTGGAGATCTTTATTCATGTAATTGATGGGCAACTTGCAGAATTAAATGATCGCTTCAACGAGCTAAGTACTGAGTTACTTACTTGTTTGACATGCTTGAGTCCGAAAAATAACTTTGTAGCTTTTAACAAACGAAAGCTAGTTCGTCTTGCTCAATTTTATCCTTATGATTTTTCAGATAGAGACTTATTGATGCTTGAAGATCAACTTGGTGTTTATGTTCATCATATGCGTTCGAGTAGTGATTTTTCTCAATTGGAAGGGATTAGTAGTCTTGTGAAAAAAATGGTGGATAAAGGAATGCATAAAATATTTCCTTATGTGTAGCGCGCGCACGTGGGCGTGCCCCTATTCCATGCGCGCATGTGCGCGTATGCATGTATGTGTGCATACGTAGCCGTGTCCCTATTCCGCGCGAGTGTATACGTGTATGCGTGTACGCCTGTAGTGGAGAGGCCATTTTCCGCCATGAGTATTATTAAAAATCCACTTCGCAACAAAATGAGAGATCAATGGTTGAATGATAGCTTGATTGTTTACATTGAGAGAGATGTTTTTGCTTGTATTGATAACGAAACTATAATGCAACGTTTTCAGAATATGAAAACTCATCGTGGACAATTGTAACTTGTATTATTGGTTTTGTTATGAATTATGAATGGAAGTACTATCTTTCTATCTTTTTAGCATTATTTTCTTTGTAGAAAAATTATAGCACTTTTACACTAAGCCCCCTTGGCCACATAATCCTGGATCTGCCACTAAGTTCATGGATTCATCAATTAATCTTAAAATCAAACCACCCAAATAATCAAAAGGAAGAACATGTGTTATTTGGGCTTGGCCCCCTTCTTACCACAAAAAAGAGGAAAACATAGCGATAAGAGTTAAGAGAATCTAGAGAATAATCTTGATACTAGTCTTGTACTTGATGAGGACAACGGTGACGACAACAAAGATAATAATGATGGAGAAGATGGTATTGATAATGGTTGTTGTTGATTGGGTTGTGATTGAAGGTGAAGATTTTCATGGTTAATGGATCGGGGCGGACCCACAATGGGGTCAATGGGGTCAAACAACCCCATGGGCTCCATGGAAATGAGCTTGAAGGTCTCCTTAAGTTGACTGTGCAAGCCCATGGATGCCCTCCATCTGTTTGTTGTTTGGGCTGAACGAAATGGCAACCTGCACGAGGAAGAAGAAAAAGCTCAGCGCGCTTCTCTTTTTTTTTTTTCTTTTTTTTTTTTAAACATGGGTAAAAAAATTTAAAAAAAATGAGCTGTCCAAAACGACGTTGTTTTGATCCAGCAATTTTTTTAAAAAATGAGCTGGCGAAAACGACGTCATTTTAGGGCCCAATGAATTTTTCTTAAAAATGGCCTGGCCAAAACGATGTAGTTTTGGTCCAGGTCTTTTAAAAAAACAAAATTAAAACAGCCCCCAGTCATTCCAAAACCCCTCGACCTGATCCCAGCAACTCCCTAAACCCCAATTATGTTCTCCTCAACCCTAAATCCCCAATCTCCCCCCTCCAAACCTTTAACCCCCATCAGCAGCCTGCTCCATTGTCGTATCCGCCACTGCCAAAAGGTTGCTGCCGTGTCCACTCTCACAATTCAAGTAAATTCTAACTCTAAGCCTAAATTAATTGAATTGAAATTATGATTTTATTATACTGTTTTGATTTATTGGATGTTTCATTTATGAATGTAGTTTATTGGAGTTAAATATAGTTTGCTTGTTTACATTGAGAATGATATTTTTGCTTGTATTGAAAATGAAGATATAATGCTACGTTCTCAAAATATGAAACCTCGTCGTGGACAATTGTAGCTTGTAATGTTGTTTTTCATATAAATTATGAATGTATGTACTATAGTTTCAATTCTAATGTTATTTTAATCCTAAAAAAAACTTGGAACTTTTACCCTATGACCCCATGAGGTAAGATTTCTGGGTTCGTCACTGTTAATGGGTATGGGTGACTTTCATGGATAATAAAGTTTGAGATATTTTCTGGGTTTCAGCGAGAGAGAGGTTTTTTCAATCTTCTAAATAGTTTTTTTTTAAATAATAAAAATAATCACATAGTAAGTCATGTGAAGAATATGTGACATTATGGATGGCAAAATGGATAAAATTCAAAAAAATTGACTGTAAGGGTTAAATTAACTATTGCAATAATTTCAGGTACTAAATTAGTTGACTTTTTAGTTCAGACGGTAAATTCAATTAGCTTGATAGTTCAAACTGAAAATCCTTTATTAAAAATAATTTTGAAGTATTATTGATGTTTTTGAAGTCATAATTTTATTTACCAAAAATTAGTTGACTTTTTCGATTAGCTTGATAGTTCAGACTGAAAATCCTTTATTAAAAATAATTTTGAAGTATTATTGATGTTTTTGAAGTCATAATTTTATTTGCCAAAAATTAGTTGACTTTTTAGTTCAGACGGTAAATTCGATTAGCTTGATACTTCAGACTGAAAATCCTTTATTAAAAATAATTTTGAAGTATTATTGATGTTTTTGAAGTCATAATTTTATTTACCAAACGAGGGAAAGTCACGGGTCAGTCTCTGAAGTTGGGTGCAGCACGTAACTTTGCCAAATCTATTACATTGATTGAACCTCTCCTGCTCTTCTCTTCAAAGCTATGTACGTACGTATGTACTTTTCCAGACAAAACTTAAAGAAAACAAAACAAAAACGAAAATAAAAAAAACAAAGCACAAAGCTAGTTTTGCGTGATCAAGCTCCCAAAAACAGAACTCAGACCCAAAAAAAAAGGCTCCCAACCCAAGAACAGAACTTCTGACCCCAAAAAAAGCTCCAAAGAACAAGAACACAACACAGAGAAAAGAAAAACCGTAGCTCTTGAGATGTCTGGAGGTCGATCTGATGAAGACACTGTGAATCTCAAAGTTCAGTTCAACAAGGTTTGATTCTCCCCCACTCTTTTCCTTGCATTGCATGTGGTGTACTTGAAAAATTTTAACCTTCTTTTTTTAGTTTTTTATTTCAAATTTTCCTTTTCCTATAACCAAATGAAAGGAAGAAATTGGGTTTCCATTAGGGTTACTGGGACTTCGGGGTTGATGGGTTTATATAAGAACTAATAAGATGGAGAAAATAATTTTCAACGTTAGCCAAAATTTGGATTAGAAATTGACTAAAACACCCTTCCAATCTGTACTGGAAAGGAAACACCAAATTAGTTTCATGTTTTCTCGCCGTACGTACCTTATTTAGCTTCATGTTTTCTCTGTTGAATATCACTGAATTATTATGCCACATCTTAGAATAAATAGATCCACTGTAGTTTAATCTAATGGGATTCATTTGTTATATGATGAGATCCACGTGTAGGATGGAGTTCAAACTTTTTTCCGGGTTAAACGAAGCACCAAACTGCACAAACTCATGGAAGCATTCTGTAAAAATCGTTCCCTTGACCCCAAATCAATAGAATTCACGTTTGATAGCGTCCGACTCGAGAAGAACAAAACTCCTGAGCAGGTAAAAGTTCATAAAAGTTACTTAGAATGTTAATCATGAAAATAAATTTCATTGATGCTAGAGTTGTATCACGGGCCTTGTAGGAACGCACTACTAAGTCCAAGCGTGAACTAAATATTATCTCCAACTTAATCACCTTTTGGGTGGGAGAATGCTCAATGGACCTCTACATGTACGGTTTTAACTCAAAAGGGCTTGGTGCAATTAATAGTGGACTACAGGTATTTGATAATGTAGATTATTGTTGTATTTCTCCAAAGTGGGGATTTGTATAGAGCTAAACTACCTTTTATAGCTTGTTGGCTTTGTGTTACATCCAACAGGGGCTTTAGGTTCGACTACCATCGAATCCGTGATAGGTCACCATAAGCTGTAATGTAATTGTTGGTGAAATGATTGTTCCTTTACTAGCTGATGCCCTTTGATGCATCAAAGCCAGTTTGAACAAAAGTTGTGCTTCTTGTGGAGTTTAAAGTCAAGCACTATACATTTCTGTTTTCAATGATGTGTCCATTGATTCTTAGTTGCTACTTAACTTTGTGCAGCTTGGAATGGAAGATGGTGATCTGATCGATGCCCTTGTGTCCGGTGATGGAGCTTAAAAAGTTAAAGCCATCATGATGTATATATGCAGGAAGGAGTTTGTGAAAATTTGGATTTTATTTTCTACTGTTGAACTTTATTAGATATTGAGATGGGTGTTAGTTATTTGGAAAAACAGTTTGAACATGAACCATAGGATAACAGCAGTCAAAAAAACTTGCCAGTCCAGCCCATTAGCCTTGGTGGCACTGGCCAGGTACTAATATGATGTTTGTGTCTTTGTTCTTGCTCTGCTAAAGCTTGCACTAGCAAGTGTTGTTTCCTAATCAACATTGATGCTCTCCTTATCTGATCCTTAAGCTTCTGCTTTGTTATATTAATTACAGTTTTTATTTATAAACAGAGACGGGAGATTCGATCTTGCACCTCTTCCAACATTGTGAAAAGATCCAAGAGCTAGTACTGTGCTGTGTTTTCTGTTCTCAAGTCATCTTGTTGCCTCTTATAACGAAAGACTTGTATTTTTACCCATACAAAAAAGCCTTCAGTTTAGGAGGGGGTGAATGGAAAAAAGGTATACACCATGGACAAATTAAAAAATCGCGCAACTTCGAAGGAGAGGGTTTCTGCAAGCTCTCTACAACAAAAGCGAAAAAATAAAAGAAAACAAATCGTGTCATACATGTACAAGTTGAGATTCCATATGTGGATTTCGGCATTTGGTAATTAAAATTAAAGTTTTTTTAAATTCTTTTTGTTTGCATTTTGAAGAAATCCAATCTTTCATTGACTGGTAATACTAATAGGTATTCAGACTAGCACGCGTCTCTCATCTCTACATTGTGTAATGGAAAGCAAACTTTGGTTAATTTTCCAATCATACCCAATCTAGAAATATAAAAAATAGGAAAATTTGCATAAATTTCACCTGAGCTTTTGGGCGTATGCACAATTACCACCTAATTTTTTTTTTTTAATTATTAACCACTTGAACTTTATAGAGTTGCAATGTACCACCGATGTCTAAACTTTCTGTTTAGTTTAAGGACAATTCCGTCAGTTCACAATAACTACAAGACTTAACATTTTTAAAACTAACAAAATTAAAATAATAAAATAATAAACCTAACCTAATTATTGTTCCCCACCCCTTCCAACACAAATGCTTCCCCATTGCCCAGTAGCCTCCCCACCCTCTGCATACACCCTACTTCATATCTCTATCTCTCTCCACCGAATCTATAAAATATTTGGTGTAGTTTGTTGAAGAGTTGAAGGCCAACTCGAGGGTGCATTACTTGGATTGGTTAATCAGCCCCTTCTCTCACTATTGATGGTACTATCTAGACATGGGATTCCTTGCCCCTACTAATTAAGCTTCTTTGGTTTTTTTTTTTTTTTGGGTATTATGTTGGTGGTGGCTTGATTTATGGGAGGCTTGTTTGATGTGCTTCTCTGTATCCTATATTGCCCTATGGTTTTTCGTGTGTTTCCGTTTTGACTTTTGAATGAAACTTCATTGAATGAATACTAAAAAGGAAAAGAATTGAAGGCCAAATTAATTTAGAGGTTTGAAGATCCATGAAATCCATCTCCCCAAAAGCCAGGATGGATGTAGAGAATGGGGGAGAGGTCTCTACTAGGCAAGGGGAAAATTGTTGATGGATGGGATGGGAGAAACCGTGGGATGATTTAGGTTAGGTTTTTCATAAAGAAAAACAAAAATAATTATAAATTCCGTTAGTTTTTTTTTTTGGTTCTAGTGAATTGACGGAATTGACCTTAAAGTTAACGCAAAGTTTAACAGAGTTAGACATAGATGATACATTGAAACACTCTCTAAAGTTCATGTGGTTAATAATAAAAATTAAAAATTTAAGCGGTAATGGCTCACGTGCTTAAAAATAAAAATAAAAATTATAAAGAGTCTTTGTTGTTAGATAAACTTGTAATTCAACTTTAATTACAATTTATTTAAAAACAAAACAAAGAAAGTCAACGGTCAGTCAACTTTAATAAAGTAAGTGGTCTCTTCGTGTATCCAATAGTAAAGGAAAAAGAAAAGAAAGAAACCATGATAAAATAAAATCCTTGCGGAAGATGAAATGATATATGAACCCTAATCTTGTATATGTGAAAAAGAAAAGAAAACAATCAGAAAAATGCAACTCTACATTGGGAAGGTGGGAATGGGAATAACATTCTCTAGTTAAATTTTCTTTGCTTGCTGCTATACATCTGCACATACTAACAATTCACAAATGAACATGACTATTAAAGTTGGCTAAAGGAATGAATGTGGTCTAACATGGGTGAAAGTTTCTCTACTGTACAACCAGAGGGAACAAATATTTCAACAGAAATTTTCTTCCATCTCCATCATGGCCTCCGGTCGGATTCTGTCAGGTAAGAACTAGCTAGCTAGAGACTGGCAGAGTGCATTCCAATCGGACCTGACCTTGAGATCCAGTGAGAACATTAAGGTTAGAAATCTTCATCATTGCCCGGGCGAAGTCCATCCGGAAGGTTGATCCATCGTCTGAAGCATAAGCTCTCACCAATCTGGCTGTCCTCTCATTAGCCATCAATTGCTGATCAGCAAAGAGAAGTCCTCTGCCTCTCAACAAGCTCTGGTAGTAATGAGTGTCAAAGCCTGCCCCAGACGATACAGATGATTACAGTTGCTGAAAGTATGGCATCCCCCTCCGCGCAGGCTTCTCACTCATGCCCCTTGATGCCATTGGGGATGATGCTATGGATGCTGCCATGGGGGCTGCCATGGAGGATGCCATGGGAGACTTCATGGGGCCTGCCATGGGTGATCCCTGGCAACTCTTCTTGTTACCATTGTCTTCACAGAAAACTCTCATCTCGTCTGGTTTCCCTGTCCCCCTGAAGTTGTGAAGGCGAGACTGAATGAACTCACATCCATCTTCCCAATGTTGTGCCCTCCTTTAGATATGAAACAAAAAAAAAAAAAAAAAAAAAAATCAGAAGAGAAGAATATGTCAAGACTGAGTTGTAAGTTGTGAATTATCTAAACAAGAAGTTGGATGCAAGGAAACAGCTTAAAATGAAAGCTCATCACCCCAACCTTGTTAATGTTATACCTAAAAAGCAGTGTATGATAAAAAAAAAATGGGAAACTTAAACAATGTCTACTCAAAATATTCAATAAAAAGAGAAATTGGAAAAGAGAATATTAAAATAATGAAAACAATAGAAAATATAATATTTTTGGTTGGATAACTTTTAAAATGAAAACTGGTTTTTGTATGTTTTGGTTTGGATAATTTAAATGAGAAGATTGTTGTTGATCTAATTTAAATGTTGTATTTATCCGACTTAAAAAAAGAACAAAAGTGGAAGGTTGACACATAATTTACATTTTCAAAAATGGCTAGTACACCATTTTTGTTTGCAAGTCCCATTTTCGTTTAGATGAAAACTGGTTTTTTTTTAATCATATATATATATATATATATTATTTTGGGTGTGTTGGTGAGATAAAAACCATAAGAATTAATCCTTGCGGAAGAAGAAATGATGTATGAACCCTAATCGTGTATGACAAAAAGAAAACAATCACAGAGGTTCTTGAGTTATTCAGTTTGATTTTGCTTAACCTATGGAACCACGAGACCAAACTTAATCATTTTGACAGACTCAAAGAAATCAAAACCAATTTGAGAAAACTCATAAATATCAAGTCAAAAGCATCATATACCTAAATGAGCAGCAGGGTAGCTGCTTAAAATTCCCAGATAGAGCTTTCAGATTCCGAAGCGTTAAAAACCAGGAAAGAACAACTTGAACCAGAAAAAAAAAAGAAGAAAAAAAAATTAGAATGAAAAACCTAGAGTTTCAAGATTCATAGAAACCAATAGCAACATCAAATTGAGAATCATGCAATAAGAAACACTCAGTATTGTTGTGCATATTTACCTTAGCTATGCTTCTTGTTGCGGGAAGTTAAAATGAAGTTGAAATTCACCGAAAATAACTTAACTCGAAATTCGGTGCAACTCCTTCTCCTAACTTTGATCTCAAAGAAAAAGAAAGTGTTGCAACGAACATCGACTTATGTTACTAGGGTGAGAAGTCTCGAATGTAACTGCTCCAACGATTTTTTTCTTTCTATTTTTATGAAAAGGTTTGAAGGTTCTGTCTAGTTATATAGACTTGGGAAACCGACTTAAGCACAACTTAAGTTGGACTTCTTTGCTTCCTAGCTTTTAGGCCCAAAAAATAATTTATAATATTCAATAACTAAAAATTTAGGGGAAAAAAAAGTATTTAATATTAAATAATGAAAACACAGATGCGTAATGAAGTTGATTTTGTTGAATTATCCGGTGACGATATACGTTCCATATCCTCCTACCTGTTTGGTTTGATAACTTTTATAATGAAAACTGGTTTTCTTTTTCTTTTTGGGTTGGATAATTTCCATCATAATCCATTTTATATAATTTAGATATATCCATGCATGTTTGGTTTGATAACTTTTAAAATGAAAACTGGTTTTTATATTTTGGGTGTAACTTGGTGAGATCAGTATGAAGTTGTTTTTTTAGGGTTATTTACTCAAATGGTCCTCAAATTTATACCCGAGTTACATTTCGGTCCCTCAACTAAATTATTCGTTCAAATAGTTAGTCTATATTATTCGATCCATTAGTCCTATTATTACATTTGACCGGAAACATTGACAGAATGTAACAATAGGACCAATGGATCGAATAATTGAGTTGTGGACCATGTGAATGAATAATTTAGTTGAGGGACTAAAATGTAAATCGGGTATAAGTTTGAGGACCATTTGAATAAATAACCGTTTATTTAGAGAACTTTTTTTAAAAAAAAAATTAGAGAACTATGAAAGTAATTTTTTTTAGAGAACTATGAAGTAGTATTACAGCTGTGAAATTCTATTCCCATCTCTTTCCTCTCCTTGTAAAACTTGGACATGGAATTTTCTTCTAAAAGAAAGGAAAAAAAACTATCAGAACCTTGGGGAAGAGGAAATTATATATATATATATATATATATATACATGAACTCTAATCTTGTATGGCAAGAAGAAAACAATAACACTGGTCCTTGAATTATTCAATTTGATTTTGCTAAACCTATAGAACCACATGACCAAACTTAATCATTTTGAGTTATTAAAATGATTCCTTTTTTTGTTTTTTAAGTTATTTTGTTCTGATTGTAATGCCTCCATAGTTGAGTTATGAAGTCTCGGACATGGACATGGATTTTTAAAAAAGGAAAAGAAAAATGAAAATCCCATCTTGTATATGGCAAAAAGAAAACAATCACACTAGTCCTTGAGTTATTCACAATCAGAAAAATTCAACTCTACATAGGCGGGAAGGGGATTAACATTCTCTAGTTAAACTTTCTTTGCTTGCTGCTATATATCTGCAGGTACTCACAATTCACAAATGAACACGACTAATAAAGATGGCTAAAGGAATGAATGTGGTCTAACAGGGCTAAAAGTTTCTCTACTGTACAACCAGAGGGGACAAATATTTCAACAGAAATTTTCTTCAATCTCCATCATGGCCTCCGGTTGGATTCTGTCAGGTAAGAACTAGCTAGCTAGAGACTGGCAGAGTGCATTCTAATCGGACCTGACCTTGAGATCCAGTGAGTGCATTAAGGTTAGACATCTTCATCATTGCCCGGGCAAAGTCCATCCGGAAGGTTGATCCATCGTCTGAAGCATAAGCTCTCACCAATCTGGCTGTCCTCTCATTAGCCATCAATTGCTGATCAGCAAAGAGAAGTCCTCTGCCTCTCAACAAGCTCTGGTAGTAATGAGTGTCAAAGCCTGCCCCAGATGATACAGATGATGACAGTTGCTGAAAGTATGGCATCCCCCTCAGCGCAGGCTTCTCACTCATGCCCCTTGATGCCATTGGGGATGATGCCATGGGTGCTGCCATGGGGCCTGCCGTGGGGAATGCCATGGGAGACGCCATGGTAGCTGCCATGGGTGATCCTTGGCTACTCTTCTCGTTACCATTGTCTTCACAGAAAACTCTCATCTCATTGAGGAAACCAGGAGAAACAGTTGGGTCTGGTTTCCCTGTCCCCTTGAAGTTGTGCAGGCGAGACTGGATGAACTCACATCCAATCTTCCCAATGTTGTGCCCTCCTACAGATATGAAACAAAACCAAAAAAATAAAAATAAAAAATCAGAAGGGAAGAATATGTCAAGACTGATTAATCTATTTCAGCTCCAAACATAAAGAAATGAAGAAAAAGAAGGAATAGAATTTGTTAGGTGTGTACCTAGAAGACTGACGGTTTCTCTGTCAGTAAAACCTCTGAGTGAGAACAGATGAAGTGTCTGAGTGATATTATCATCAGGTTTTGGAATCTCAGCCATGGCTTCATCATAATAGGAGCGGGCACTATCTCTTCTACCAGTGAAGAGTGGATAAAAGGGACCACCAGCCTGTCATTTTAGATAGGACAAACACTCAGAGAAGAATACTGAAACAAGCAGTCAGATAATACAGTTAAGTGTTCTGTAGCTTTTCCACTTAAATAATGAGGAACTACCAGCGAAAGAGTTAGTGAACAACTAATTCACAAGCACCAAAAGTTGAACAACTAAATGTGTGACAGTTTTGGTTTCTTACTTCTCTCTTTTAGTTCTTTTTTCTAATAGTAATTAGATGGAATGGAAAGAGAAGAAACTGGAAATTTTTGCCTTAGAGGTAGTTTAGAAGATCAAACGCTGAAAATCAAAACAGGAATGAATACGTCAAGACTCATAGGAGCAGTAAAACATACCAGAACAACGCCATCTCTTGTGGCAAGAGCAAGTATGTCAGCACAAGATACCACTGCAGGACAAACATTTTCGAGCACCTCCTTGATCTGATCAATTTTGTCAAATCCCTTCAAGGTCTTATTTGGCACAGCCTGCTTCTCTACTGAATGGTTTTTATTCCCATTGCTGTGATCCAAGAGGACTGAAGCATCACAACCCTGATTCAAAAACCCCACAACATTAAGAAAGACAGATGGAATTAGACAGAAACCCACGTAAGGTAATCATAGCCCACTAACATTGACAATACATGCTTGATTAAAAAGACAGAAACTAAGGTTAGAGACAAAATACTCAAAAGAAAAGAAAACCCATTTCAGAAAAACTCATAAATATCATGCCGAAATCATCTTATAGCATTGTAGCTTAATATTCCCAGATAGGAATTTTCGGATTCTCAAGTGTTAAAAACCAACCATAAAAGAACAACCCAGAGTTTCAAGATTCATAGAAACCAATAACAACATCAAATTGAAGATAAGAATCCGAATCATCAGAATCAGATTCCAATACCCTGAGCAATCAAAACCCATTTGAGAAACCCACACAGGCGAAGAAAAGGACGAGCAAGATTAAAAGCAGAAAACCCAAAGCAATCAAATCCTATTTGAGAAAACCCCACACGAATGAAGGAAATTACCACAAAGATTAAAAGCAGAAAACCCCAGAGCAATCGAAACAAAAGCCATTCATAGATGAAGAAAAGAACCATCAAGACTAGAAGCAGGAAACCCACACAGATGCAGAAAAGTACAATCAAGATTAAAATCAGAGGACCTTACAGCATAAAAGCTATTTGAGAAAAAAACCTCAAAGATAGAGAAAAGAAGAATCTTGGTATACCTGAATGAAGCAATCATGGAAAAAGAGGCGCAGAAGCTGAGCAGAGACATTCTTGTGCTGGGAGTAAATCTGAGCCATCGTAGACCTCACAATGGTCTCAGCTTCAGGGCATGTATCGCGGTAGAAATCATACTCGATGTTCGTTGCAACAGAATCTGTCATCTCCATGA